GCCTTTCACATTTGTTGTTTTAATGAGTTTTGGCATTTTATCTGGTTTCTTTTCATTAGTGGAGAAGTCAGGAGTCCAGCGTTTGGACACTCTCTGAGATCCCGGAGGGTGAATTTGCATCTGGGGGTGGGGGGAACCTGATCTTAGGAGAATCTGGACTTGACCTTTCCTGGAAGTAGGCTCTGACCATAAAGCCAGCCAAGTGCAGCTCGCTCCCCACCTGCCCTCCCAGGGGCTCCCAGGCTACAGAGATGAAGCAACTATGCCTGTCCAGAGCCCTGGAGCTGCCTGGCCTGGAGCTGGGTTTATCAATGACACAATCTTTCTAATAGAGTTGCCAGTAGGGTTGGAATGGCTAAGGCAGAGGGGACAAGAGGTTTTATCTATTATCAAGTCAATTAAAACATATATCTTGTAAGTTCTCCCTCTTTCTTTCTCTTTTTGTTTGTGTTTGTTTGGGGGTCACACTCAGAAGTGCTCAGAGGGTTACTCCTGGCTCTGTGTTCAGGGGATCACTGCAGGGAGGCTCAGGAAACCATATGGGATGCCTAAGGATCAAACCAAGGCTGGCTGTGTGCAAGGCAAGTTCCCTACCTATTATATTATTTCTCCAGCAACCCCCCCCCTTGCCATTTTATTTTTTAAAGAAAACATATTCTCACTGTCCCAAAATAGCAGCAAGGGATCCCAAATCCCAATTTCAGTTCTCTGCTAATTGTGGGACCAAGGACTGGTCACTAGACTCCCCTATTCACCAAGTGGATCTCTAGCACCCATGTATTTTGCCTTCTGGTCCATGATAGGGTTGGCTGATATCAATTTCCTTTTGACCATCTCCAGGGTCTTTATGAAAGGGTGTGGATTATCTTGGGACAGTGTGCTATCAAGAGCCCTCTATAATCTGAGAGGAAAGGGGAATTGTCATTTGTTCAACACTTTCCCATTAATAATTTGCAGTATATTAGAAATTTAACCCAAATCATTTCATCCTTCAACACTATAATGCAGGCCTTCTCTCTCCCATTTCACAGACAGGGAAGCCAAGGTTCAGAGACCAAAAGTCTAAACCAGTATTCTTGCTTCTATATAAAGTCAGTATAAAAAAGTAGCATACTATTTTTTTCCTAGCCTGCCTTCTCTAATATCATTTTCACTTCTTAAATAATGCAGAGCCCTGGCTGTGCACATCCCACCCCCAACCCAGCTCTGAAACTGTCTGGGGAATGATGCAACCTTATGACTTTTAACTTGGTCAGCATCCCCTATTCCCAGGCAACCTGAGCCCACATAGCCAGGTTGTAAGAATCACCTCCTGCCTAGTTTTCCCAAGTCTGATCTGGAATATTTTCATATTTGAGCAAAGAGTATAAAATATAGAGGAGAACTTTGAGATGCAGAAGGCATAAGAGAGCAGCGAAACCCCTGGCTCAGGAAGCTGGGATTGTCCAGGATCTTTCCTAGGAGAAGAAAAAATCCAGCCTGGGCCCCTGGGTCTTGTCTCAGCACTCTGCTCTGTCTTTCACATCTTTTCAGGCAAGGAAGAATCTCAAAGCCATGTCTTACTTACCATGCTAGGAAATAGCCTGGCTCGCAGAAGTCACCCAGATTTGAGGAGGGTTCTTAGAGTGGTGCACGGGTTCAGAAGCACAGGGATGTTTGCGGAAGATATTGTGAAACCCAGTTTGGGCTGAAACTCCAGAGGGATTTTACGGCAGAATTTGTTCCAACTAATGATGCAAAGTTACTTTCATTTTCCAATATAGGATATCAACTAAATTCTTCAGCATCCATAGAACAGGTTCTAGAAATGTCTGTTTTTTAGAGTAAAATTCAAACCTTTGCAGAAATTGACCCTGGGTCTTGGTTAGCAGGAGTTGGGGGAGTGTGGAGAGAGTTGGGGCCTTTCAGGGCTGTGGGGGAGCCTTCCTGGCTCCAATCCATTGGCAAAGCCCCTGGTCTGTTAGTCACTATTTCTCTCTGTCAGACAATTCAGCTACCCACGTCAGATGGCTGCTTCCATCTCTGTGGGGGGAGGGGAAGCAAGAGGGGGCAGGGCTCCCTATTTAGAAATGGCAGTGAGATGAAAGGCTGTATGACACATCGGCTCATGTCAAAGGAGCTCATTTCCCCCGCCTCCAGCATTAGCAGTTTCCCTTGGAGGCTTACTTTTCTATTAGAAAGTATTGTTTTGTTTTCATTCCGTTTATTTGCATAGTAGCACAGCAGGACAGGCTGTGTTGGTACTCAGAGCAGTGTGGGAAACTGGCTGAGGACAGGCAGGCCACTGCCTGGGAGAGATGGACTCAACTGGGCTGCTGAGCCCTTGGCTGATCCCTGAGAGGAGAAGGGCAAAGGCGTGGGAAGCCTTTGGTTTCTGCTGTGCTCCTCCTTTCATGCTGCCTCCCACCTGCCTTCAATTCCCATGTCTGCTGCTGAGCAATCTGGCTGAGGAATGTGTGCTGAGGGGTACCAGGTCCAGGGGTCTCCAGATAGGGCTGAGGGGAGAAGAGAATCATGTGACAGGAGAGACCCAAGGTCTGGACACACACCAGCTTCCGCCTACCCCTTTGGAGCCAGGGAAGACACCCTAGTCACCTCCCTCTTTCCAGCCTCCCCTCCTCCCGCCCGAAAGCATCCTTCTTGCTGGCAGGAAAATAAAATCCTAGAGAGCAGTTAAGGACCCCAAAGACCTTGGAACATGGACTGCACTGCCCCTGGCTGGTTTCCCTCCCTGGCCCTGGAAGACAGCCTGGGGGAGGTGGGCTGCACAAGGACGCCTGTGCTACATGGTCTCTGCTCCCCGTTCTCTGTTCTGAGAAACAGTATGAAAGGGGAGGGGTCACTCCCCTTCTCTCCTCCTCTACCCTCCTGGGCCTAGCTGTCCCCCACCCCCAATGCAAACTTGAAGCTTGGGGAGTAGGGACTGTGATGACTGCTTGGTCATACTGTACTGTAAGCAGTTGAATGGGGACCGGGGCTGGGGGAGGGAAAAAATGACAAAAGAATGGAGATGTTTTATTTTAAGTAGGAAATTTACATACATCTCTTTCCCATCTCTCTTTCTGAGCAAGTGTTCCTTTAGGTATTCTTCTGGCTCTCTGGCGGCCCCTCTGCCCCTCTTTGGGTGTCTCCCATGCATCTGTGTCTTGATGGTTCTGTCCCATTTTCTGCTTCTCTGTCTCTTTCTCCTCCAACCTGTTTCTTAATCTCTGCCTCTTGTCTCTGCCTCTCTTTCTCAACATTCCCTCACACTCCAGACTCAGTCCTTATTCACCGGCTGAACCCTAGCCCTTTCCCATACCCCAGCAGAGCAGAACCTCCTTGTCTTGGTTCTGACAAGGAGAAATACCAGGACTGGAATTGCTGCTGGGTCGCCGAGACGCTGCGGAGCCACACTGCTTGTGAAGGCAGTATCTGGGAACAATGAGAAATTATCTGTTAATTCCCGGCTCCCGTCCGCCACCTGCTCTGCTCTGAACAGGCTCCTTTGCCTTCCTTCTAGATGCAAATTCTCCCACTCGTTCGTAAGCAAAATATTGATTTCTCTGCATCAGAGGCCCTGGCCCTTGGACCGGTCTTGTGTTTTTTCATTCTCTGCAAAGGCAAAAACAAGGCGCTTTGTTCTGCAAATTTCCCTGGGCACTGGAGAGGGGGAAGGGAGAAATCGCCACAGAGTGACAGAGTTGCTACAAACATGTGCAGGAAGGCAGTTCAGGTCCATTTGTGTTTTACATAAACACGAGGGGGGTGGGGTGGGGGTGCTCACACCACCCTGAAACTGCTAATGAGCTCAAAGCAAGGAACCTTTAAGCTCGGTTTCTCCCAGGTGCTGAGCCGGCATTGGAAGATGATGGGGTGATGGGACCTCTGGGTGCCTCAGCTGGATCTAGATGCACTAGGGGGTGTTTGGGGACTGCTATCCCCACCTCTTTGTAACAGAAAAGGAGCACTTCCATCAAGAAGGCTGCCTGGATTACTTATTGTCTCAATGCCTTGTGCTGGGTCCCTAGCTCTTACCTATCACAGGCTCCAGTGGTCTGGGGGCAGATGCCAACCCATCACAGTAGCCACCCTCACCCCACCCCGCCCTTCTCTAATTCTTGGTCTTCAGCACCGTGGACAGAGGCAGGACGCTGGTTCCGGGAGGTCAGGGTCCCCGCTGGCTGGGGCTCTCCGGCGGCTGGGGCAGGCCCGAATCTCCTCCACAGGGGATGTGAGTCATCTTTCCAATTAGCCCTTCCAGTTAGCCCCTCCCCCGCACCTGCCGCTGGGTGCGCTCCAGCCCCGCGCCTTCCAGCTGAAGTTTCCTTTCCCCCTTCTCAGCTCCGGGAAGAAACAAAGAAACGGACGCGAGCACCCCAGTCTGCAAGGCAAACCGCACACTGGAAGAGTCGGGACACCCTGGAGATGCTCCAGCAGCCGCGCCGGGGCTGTCTAGAGAGGTCCAGGGCTGCGGGAGGCCAGATTCCCGCGCAGGAGCCAGGGCCTCGGGTCTCAGACTTAATAGCGAGCCTCATCCTCCGTGCGGGCACTGCACCGATGGGGTCCTAGCTGCCACGGAGCGCCCTCTGGAAGTGCCCCCCATCCCTATTCGCCAGAAACTTTCCCCTCCCGTTGTCATGGAGATAGACGGCCGCGGCCTCCCGTCACCATGGCAACGTGCGGTCCCGCGGCCGCAGGATTGCGGGGCTCGCAAAGTCTTTTTGCAGTTGTCCTCGCCCCGCGGTCCTTAGGGTCTTCTGCCTCCCTGGGCGAGAGTGACCAACTTCTCCGGTGGAGCGCTGGTGGCCGCTCTCCCTTCCCGCAGTGCCTGTCTGGCGGCCACCCGTGCGGCGTGCGGGATGTACCGGTGTTTTCATAACCACTGTCTCAGTGCCCCAGCCGCCCGGGAAGCCCCGGCCCGCGCACTCCCGTGACAGGGAGGAAAATCGGGGCGCGCAGAGCCCAAGGTCACAGATCCGTGTCCCGTGGCCCCCGGAGGGACCCCCGGGCGGCAGGGGGCGGCCGGGAGGCGCCAGACCCGCCAGCGGCTGCGGGATGCCACGTGAGGGGCGGGGACCCCGCGGGGAGGGGATTAAAAGCCCCCGGAGCCGCGGGCAGCGCGGGTCCCGGGCATGAGCTCCGAGTTGGGGCCCGGAGGGCCTCGGTGCCAGGCGGCGCTCGCGGTCCTGGCTTCGCTCTGCCGGGTCCGGCCGCCCCCTCTCGGGCTGGACGCGGAGACTTGTCGGAGCTTGGAGCGGCCCGAGCAGAGTCCCAGCGCGGCCGACGCAGGTAACCGGGACCCCGCGCGGCCCCCGCGGGCGCCCGGGAGCGAACCCCGAACCCAGAGCCCGTGTCGGTGCGGGGCCCAGAGCGACTGAGAGAAGCCAGGGGGCTGGCCCCGGAGCAGAGCAGGGGCCCCCGGGCCTCAGTTTCCCTCGCGACTCGTCTCGCCTGCACACCGGGAAAGCACCCTGCGTCCGTGTGTCTGTCCCCGGGCGCGCGTGCCGGACCTTGCGTCTGTGTGTCTGTCCCCGGGCGCGTCTCTGCCGGGGGCGGGGGCACAGGGTGTCGCGGCCGCTCTCCGCCCCCCTCCCCGGCCCTATAACTCGCTCCTCGCGTTCTCCGTGACTCACTCGGACTCGGGGCCACTTTTGTAGCGGGCGCGGCCCACGCCTGCACCGCGCAGCAGCCAAGCCGGTGAGTCCCGAGCCCGCGGGGGTCGCGCTCTCCCCGCACAGCAGCGCGGCGTCTCCCGTCCGGAAAGCTCGGTCCCGGGGGTCCGGGTGAGGGGCCCCGGGGGCGAGCGAGCGGGGCCAGCGCCAAGCCAGAGGATGCGATCGGGGTAGGGGAGACCCTGCGGGGAGGGGTCCGAGGCGCCGCAGAATCTATCCCCCTCCCCGACTCCGACTCTCCACGTCGCGGAGCTTGGGGTGGGGACCAGGTGGTCGTGTGAAAAGGGAAGCGGCTGCGGGGCGAGAGAGGAGCATCTCCCCGGCTTCTCTCGCGGCGGCTCTCCGGCGGGCACAGGTGGGCCGGGCTCCGGGCCCCTTCCACCTGAAGTTAAAGGTCGGAGGGTGAGCTACCTCGGGGCTGCGGATCAGGGTATCAAAGCGGCACGGTGGGGGGCTCCAAAGAGGGGGCTTCTGAGCGAGAGGCTGAGCCCAGTCCCGTGAATAGAGCCCACTTCAGACTGATCTGTGGGTTGTAGGGGGCGCTGCACCGCTCTCTCCTTCTGTCTCCCCATCTCTCTGTCTCTTTCTGTCTCTCCATCTCTGTCTCTCTTGTCTTCACCTCTCTCTGAGTCTGTCTCTCTGTCTCTCTTTGTTTCTGTCTCTGTTTATTTGTGTCTGTCTCTGTTTGTCTCTGTGTCTGTCTATCTCCCTCTCTGTTTTTGTCTCTCTGGCAATGCTGGTGAATCGGATGATGGCTTGTTTCAGCCACAAAAGGAACTGAGATGAGGCACAAAGAAGTCCTCTCTGAGGGCTTTGGGTACTGAATTAAGCTTGACTGTCCTGCCCCCTGGAAGACTCTCTGGACTGATCAGACCTAGCAATTATTACATTCTGCTCCACCTCGAACATTCACCTTGGACCCAATCCAGCTGCCCACCCCTCAGCAGGCACACAATGTCCAACAAGCCAGGAGCCATCCTGCCCCTCCTGGGGGGGGGTCCCCTCCACCCTTTCCTGCAGCCATCTACTCTGTACTTCTCCTAACTCCTTAAGGGGTTGGTTCATAGGGAGAACACACCTGTTGGGTGCAGCTGGAGGTGAAGGCTGCACCCCCCGCCAAAGCCTTGCAGGAGGCACATCCTGATTGGGAGCAGCCCCAGGTTCTGCCTTTCCAGGGACACCCAAGCCTGGAATGACTCTTCTGGATGGAGGCTGAGCAGAGCCAGACGCCAATGAATCAGTTCTCTTCCCTGCAAGTTGCCTCAAAAAGCCAGTTTGAGTTGTCAGCCTTGGGGAACTTTCACTTTGGCTGCTGAGTCACTCACTGGCTTTAGGAAACCCCAGGGACCAAGCTGGGACCAGCTGGAGGTGGGACAGAAGGGTTGGGGGAGGCAGAAGAAGACCCTTAATCAGAGAGAGAGAGTGATGGTGAGTGACTCTGGGGGGTCTCAGAATTTCCAGGGATCTGCAGAGAGGCAGTAGGTTTTAGGACCAACCGCGCCACCCCCCCCCCAAAAAAACCAGCAGACTGGTGGCATGACTGTCTGCATGACGCCGGCATGATGCCCGATCCTTCCTCCTGTTCGTGGACAATGCCTGTGGCCAGACCATGCCCAGTTCCCGCCACCGTTTTAGGCTTTCTGGGGTCTTCCTCCTGCTTTAAGTCTCTTGTGTTTTCTAATAATACTCCGAGACTCAGCCATTGAGATTCACACCCCGCTCGCATTTTCTAAGACCTTCCCATGCACAAGATGCTAGAACAGCGCAGGAAGTCTCAGCTCCTCGGCTCTCAGCTCCTGCTGTAGAGGCACCTCCCCATGGCAAGGACCCCTTTTCTTTCAGACCCCTAAAAGTGGGCTGGAGAGGCCCACCCGGATTTGATCTCCAGCATCCCATATGGTCTCCGGTGCACTGCTGGGAGTAATTCCTGAGTGCAGAGCCAGGAGTAACCCTGGAGCATCACTGGGTATGACCCCCAAAACAAAATAACTAAAACCCCAAACTCTGAAGGCAAAGCCTCTGGTCTCCTCTTTAATTAATGCACCACCCTGCTCCCAGGTGGATGCAGGCAGTTCTTTACTTGTCTTTGTGTCCTTTATGTTGTGGTGGTGGAGAGTCTTTCCCTAAGCTAACTTGGTTTCTGGACCTGGGTGGTGAGCAGAGGCTGAGCAGTGTTCCAGAGGTGATGGAAACCCACCCTACCCTCCCCAGCCGATGGCTTCTCCAGCTTACCTTGGTCCTGAGTCGGCTTGATGCTTGCTCACTTCTCTAATGGTGCTGTGTGATTCAGCCGCCTGGCTTTGAAGTTGGCCTTTTGCAAGCACACATTATTTTTCCTTCTCGGAGATGGCAAATTAACTGCACAACATTTCACCACAACACCCAAGTGCTGTTTGCATAACTGAATGCTCGAGCACTCTTGCCTTGCTGAGATGACTTTAAAACCCACAGCCTGACTCTAGAAGCAGAGCCCAGAACCCAGGAGGGCAGAGACTTTGGGTTTGCTGTTCTAGAAGTCTGCTTCTCTGTCTGTGGAAAGATGGTGGGATGGGGGTGGGGAATCCAGAATGTTCCATCCCTCCAACCCTATACAAATGTGTTCTTTCTGGACCATCCAAATGTCACACTGTTCTCTCTGTCTACATGTTGGGAGGAAAACATGTGGCTGCAAATAACCAGCACAGGGAATGAGAATTCTGAGCCAGAGCGGGTTTCTTTGGGACTGTATAGGGCTGTCTGGAGCAGAGGAAAGTGGAGTGAAAGGCAGTCCAAAATGTTTGCTCAGAAAAAGGCCTCTAAGGACTGGGAGTGGACTGGGCCACTCTGGGGAGCTCAGATGTCAGTTCAGATATCCCAGATATCATGACACTTCTTCACCCCTCCCTTCTTCACAGTACCCACTTTGGGGGTGCTCTTTGTGTGCCCCAGCAAATGTCATACTGCTCCTGGGCTGCGGGTATGGCCCACTTACCATCCCCCCAACCTTGCCGTCTTTTCAAAGATGCTCTGAGCAAGCAGATAGAAGGAAAGGTACTGTGGGACAGTCAGCTTCTGCTGAAATCCTACTGCTCAGAGTTGTTATTATTGCCTCAGCTCTGTCAGCGCCCAAGCACTTCACATTCATCTCCAATTTATCTCTGAAGCCCCAAACGATGGTGAAAGCAGGGCCCAGTCAGAAAGCTCCACGTGGCCGTAATTAGCCCTGCATCTTCTCTTCTCGTGGCTTTTTTTTCAGGAGCATTAATTCTCTTTCTGTTTGGACTCTGCTAATTATCCCCATCGGTTGTGCAGTCTGAATCTCTGAAAGAAATAAAGGAAGTGAAAGTGCTCCATTTTCCTTTCCCCAATGCTGAATTTTAATTATACCAGGTTATCCTAATAAATTCAACAGCCATGTTAGAGCTTATTATTAATGGGCCATGCGTGGGAGCCTGGGAGCATCATAATGCTGCCCTCACCAAAACATGCATGCATAAACATTTAACATGCATGTGTGCACACGCGCACGCGTGCACACACACACACACTTTCACATGCACACACATGCATGCAGTATACTCACATGAGTATTTCTCAGGTACGTTCCTTAGGAGAATCCCTTATGAGACTCTCCCAGCAGTACTTGCCCAGTTGGTGGGTAAACTGGCTGTCTGTGCCCTTTGCAGGGAGCAAGAGATGGAGCGGGGAGGTGGCCATAACCATAAGGCCCGTGGTTCAGGAGGTCAGACACAGGCAACCCATACTGGGGGTGCGGAGCTGACCATCTGGAGATGAAGAACAGAATGCATTGCTGATGGGTCTGCTCTGCCTCTTCGCATGCCTGACTGGGTCTTGCCCTGTCCAGCCTGTGTGGTGATCTCTGTCTTGGTGGGTGTCTGCATGAGAGCACTTCTCGGCACAGCCAGGCCCTCACCAGCACACCTGGCTCTGAAGTCAGCCTCTGCAGAGAGCAGAGGGATGGGGCATCTCTTGTCACTGCCTCTCTCCAGTTTATCTTTTCAACGGTATTTGATGAAGGAGCAGGACTCCATCTGTCTGGATGGATTTTCCCCACCTGAGAGCCCACTAGGAAAGTGGAAGACGAGCAGGAGACAAAAGTGTGGATGATCCTAACGCAGCAGTGAGAAAAGTGGAGGCGGTGGGGCTCTGTCTTTGGTTGGAGGTGTCCGTGGGGAGATAACAAAGCCCTGGATGTTAATTAATAACCCAACATCTTCTAGGAACCAAGGACAGCTGTGACCCTTTGCTTTTGCTGAAAGTTTCCACCTAGTGACAAGTAGGTTCCACCTTCTTGCTTCTGGAGAATCCTAACTTTCTGGAGGAAAAGAAGGTCCTGAGGTCCCCCAGATAGTTTTTTCTTAAGTCTCCTGACCCTATCCCTACCCCAGAGGGTCCAATAGGTTGTGAGATATTATTGTCAGAAAGAGCAAAAGTCAAAAAGGAAACCTGAAAAGCAATGCAATCAGAATAATAGTTTCTGTCCAGTCTACACTTACACCTTCCAGACTCTGTACCCCAAATCTCAGCTTATTTCCTATTCCCAGTGGTAGTGTTCTTTCTGCAGTGGAGACAGGAGATGCCCTTTGAAATGAAGAGAGGACCATAATTAAGAAAAGTCACTTGTTGAAAGTCACACACAAATGGGAGTGCAGGTGTTACCAGTTGACTCAGGAACTGAACTGAGACTACCAAGGACTGCTTCCTGTGAAATCTGGACTCCCTGAAGGCCTGAAGCTCCCTCTGGCCACTCTGACCCTGGCACTGGGGGTTTCTGTGCCCAGTTCCATAGCTCTCTGTTCTCTCATGCCTGGTGGGTAATTGACCAAGAGAGGTTCTCACACCAGGTGCCTGTGAAATGCAGGACAACACAGATCTTAGTGAAGGTGCCTTGCATCACATTTTCAATAATGGGTCCCTTCCCCCCAGTTTTCAAGAAAACCTGGCCAAAGCACAGCTTCATTCAACTGTAGGATTTTCTATCCCTGGTTTTCTTTTTACTCCTCTGATGCTCACTCAGCTGGAAGTGGACGATAACAACAAAATAACTGGATAAGTAGTAAACAAATGAGTAGAAAAAGTTCAGATGCAAGATCTTTAATCAAGTGTGAAAGACTGAGTTATATGTGAAATTCTAATATTATTCATGGTTTTTTATGATGAAGTTAAGCCATATTTACTTATTAGTTTTTTTGACTTGCAGAAGTTCTTCCTGGTAGACAAATTTCAGAGATACATGGAGCTGGAGGGAAGACTCTTGCCTTGCATGTTGCTAACCCTAGTTCCTTAAAACTGCATAAAGTGCCCTAAACACTGTCAGAGGTAACTCTGGACCAAAGAGCCAGGATGAGCCTCTGGACACTGTAAGATGTATATCACAGTTTCACTTCCAAAATGAAAAGAACTAGACGATTTAAAACTAGAATGGCAGGGGCTAGAGTGACAGTATAGCAGGTCAGGCTCTTGTCTTGCATGTGGCTGACCTGGATTTGATCCCTGGCATCTCATATGGTCCCTGGAGCCTGCCAGAAGTAATTCCTTTAACCCATGAGCATCTCCAGGTGTATCCCCCCAAAATAAAAACACTCCACAATTAGAGTGATAAGCAAGGTAATTCTAATAAAGATAGCTAATATTATTGTTCTTACTATTCTTGGTATACTTGTGATTTCATTCAAACCTCACAATGATCCCAAGGAGTAAAACACTATTGTTGTGCCCATTTTCTAGTGATGATACTGAGGCTAAGAGCCAGTAAGTAGATTTTCAAGGTTATCCAGTTTAAAGTGAGTGGAGATGGGGCAAGAAATATAGTAAGAGAGATTAAGGTGCTCACCTTGTACATCACTAACCCAGGTTCGATCCCCAGCACCACATGATCCCCCCACCCCCAGCACCACTGAAAGCCGCAACCAAGCACAGACTTGGAAAACTGTGGGGTGTAGATTACCCCTCCCTCCCCCGAACAATAAAAATGCCAGTAGAGAGGGGCAAGGAATAGCCCAGTCTGACTCTAGGGCAATGCTGCTTTTGCTCCAGAGAAGGAAGAAGAAAACATTCTTAGAAAGTACTGTCTCTTTCTCAACTCTCTTGGCTCAGGAGAGTTACCTCTCTCTGAGGCATCCAGGCACAAAAAGCCCTGGATGCATACTCAAACACTGGCTGGGTTATTCTTGGAAATGCTATGTGCCACACAGGGAGGGGTTCAAGTCAGATGTGAGTGGGGATGAGGCTTCAAAAAATCCTTGTGGCCTGTTATTTGCTCGAAGGTGATGTGCCTGCAACCTGGGTTAGGAGAGTTATCATAGGTGACCTGGGTATCTGCAAGGCCCTTCGGTCACAGTGAATCCCTGGTGTTCCTTTAACCAGGCTGTGAAGGCTGGCCGAGTCCAAGGTGCTAATTCTCACAGTCCCATTCTAATTCTGCTCTAACCAAATTTGCTCACTGCTTTGTATCTCTGTGGGCCTAAACCCAATAAACTTTCAGAACCCAGTACTTGCATCTCCTGACTGTGTGGTGTTGTTCGGGAAGACGATAATCCAGGCAGAATTGCCTCTGGTCTTATATAACCAGTATGGAGTGCTGGTGCTGATTCCCAATAATCTATACTTCTGCCTTCCCTAATCACTGCTCCAAGGGAGCAACAGCAGGCTCATGTGGAAAAGCATTCAAAATAGCAACCACTGAGGAAAAATTTATTCCCCTGGCCCACCCCTCCCCCCACCTTTCCTTTCATCTATGAATTCTGTTTTTTGTCAGGTTGAACATTTAAATGCACTGTATGCTTGCTGGATCCCCCCCTTTAATTCTCCCCCTTTCTCATTAAAATTCTAATTATTACCAGAACAAGAAAAATGTATGATCAAAGGCAACCACAGCTCTAGAAGTACCTTTTGTTTTAAGGTGACTCATAATGCAGAGAATGCAACCAGAACAGCTGTACTGGAAAGCAGGGGTGAAGGGTCCGGAACTGGTCGGGGACCTGGAAGAATACACAGAGGGGTGATTAGTTTCCTGGTGACCCCCAGAAGGCTTAGGAACCTAGGACAGTCTCTCGACCATTTAGATCAGAAGCTGATAGCAGCAAAAACGATTTTGATTTAGTGCCTTCAGTATACAATTACTTGTTCCTCCGTTATTTATGTGTCTGCAGGCGGCTGGTGCAGAGCTGAGCTGCCTGGCTTGTATCTCTCACGCATTAACTCTATGACCCTGGATAATTGACATAACCCACTGTGCCTCAGTTTCCTCATGTGCAAAACGAGGAGAATAATCATATTCATCTTGCTAGAGAAAATTTAATCAGAGAGTATGTAAAGCACTTCATACCTTGGACATAATTCTCCATCAATGAATAATAAAATACTCTCATTTCTTTTGCACTCTACCTATATATTAAAATTTTGATTCTTTGCTTTTGAGAGAATATACATTAAATAACTAGAAAGTGATGGGGGTGAATACAGGCTCCCTGGAGACCTTTAGTTCACCAAGAATCCACTTTCCTGGTGCCTGGCAGTGTCTGGGTGAAAGACTCACCTCAACTAAGGCCCCAGGGTGGGCTAGGTGGCCCAGGGTGAAAGAGTTACTGCTCATGTCCTGATTTGTGAGACAGAGGCTGGTCAAACCCAGTGCCTGTCAGCCAGGGGCTGGAAAGCAGTGAAAGCGCCCAGAGAGGGTAGCTGGCCCCCTCATCTCCTCAGGGATTTTCCTGGCCTATCTGCACATGAAGCCTCCAGAAGGGACCTGATCACCCCTGCAAGGCTGGCCTAGCTAGGAACCAGGCACACGTCTAGAGCTGAGGAAACAGTGGAGTGATTACTGCAGCCTGTGTGAGTCCCCTGTTCATTCACTCATTCATTCTGTGCCAGTTTTCATGTGAGGCCGGAGTCGGAAAAATAGAAAACACAGAGTAACAGCAGCCTCCGTTTTGTGTTACTCGATCCTATGACTCTGGAGACGGTACCTCATGCCTCACACACTCTGCCCATCCAGACCACCGCCCTAAGTGGTATCCAGTATAGATAGGCTGGGAGGTAGTACCTCTCACTGGGTGCTGGACAGCTGGGTTCCCATTCAGGTGCTACCTCCAACCCATACATGTTACTTCTCTGCCCACCACTCCCGTGGACAAGCACACAGGCTGGTCTCAGCACTGGGTGGCGGGGGGTGGGGCGGAGGGAACTATTCCTCAGAGTAAATCCAGAGATTTTTATTGGTTGGTTGGTTTTCAGGCCACACCCAGTGACAGTCTGGGCTTACTCCTGGCTTAGTGCTCCAAGGTGTCTCTCTGCAGTACTTGGGGGACCCCCTGTGGGAACAGGATGGAACCTGGAACCTCCTGCATATGAAGCATTGACTGTGAGCTGCCTCCTCCTCCCTTAGACACAGATGAGCCTCTCTTGGAGGCTGCAGGACCCAGGCCAAGCAGAGGGAGAGGGGCTTTGAGGTCTTACCCCAGTAGGAAGAGGTGCAGCCGCCCGGCAGGACCAGTGACCTCTAGCCAGAAAAGTGTGGTGTGAGGGTGATGATGCAGATGCAATGTCCCAACCCTGAAATCACTGCACAGGAGACTTCAGAACCTGTGAGCAAGTGAACCTGGTGCAGACGCCACCACGTGTGATGGGGCAGAGCCCCGCCACCTCTCAGGAGGGGACGAGAAGCCATGGCTTTAAAGGGTCATTTATAAGGGGGAAGGGCAGCTGTTTCCTCATTGCCCCGAAAGAATGGCAGCCCCCAATATCTCCTAGATCCTAGATGTCTTCTCAGGGAAGCATTGGGGTAGGAGCCCTCACACCCACCACCACCTTCAAAGCTACCATTGCCTCAGCAACCTTAAGGGCAGGCAGCAGGATGGGAAGCACCAGGGAGGAAATCCCCGCTCTGATGGACCTGGTGGTCAGATTCCAACCTTGGACAACTTCTTCCAGTGCATGTGCAGGATTGGGGGGACACAGGCAAGCCCTGGTGGTGATCAGGCTCAGTCCACAACTCCCTTGAGCTCGCTTTTGCACCCCCTGGGGGCCATGTGGGAAGAGGATAAGTAAGCTGGGCCTCTCTGTCCCCTGGTCTCTTGGCGTACTGAGGAGGGAGTATTACACCCCTAGCACTCCACATTCGACCTGCTATTCTGGGCAGCGCTGACCACCGTGCAGACAGCATCAGGATGGGAACGCTTCACACATTTGCACATTTGCTGTTTATAGGTCTGGCTCCTGCCTATCCAGATGCCAGCTGGAGGCTGGGGCAGCCACCTGGGTGCTCCCCAAGCTGGTAGGGGCGGGGGGTGGGTGACAGGGAGCCAGTGTGAGGCAGTCACAAGACTGCAGATATTTCTCTGCGGTGGACTTCGGCGTGTCACCCTCACAGCCCCTCCCGTATGGCTGGGAACCTTTCTCACGACCCTTCTTCTCTTTTCTTCTGTCTCTGTGCCTTCTGTGTGTGCCCGTCCCTGGCCGCTACCCACACCTCTGTTTGTCCCTGTTCACTTTTGTCTGTCTGTCCCTCTTGCCTGGCCCCCGGGCAGGAGCTACCAGCAGCCTCCTCGCTGTGGTGGTGATTGTGTGTGGCGTGGCCCTGGTGGCACTTTTTCTCTTTCTTTTTTGGAAGCTGTGCTGGCTGCCCTGGCAGAGCAAGGAGGCCTCCAGCCCCTCGTGTGCTGACCTTCCTCCAGAGGCCTTCCCGAGTCCCTGCTCCCGGAACACCATGGCTGACAAGCTGAAGGACCCGAGTGCCCTGGGCTTCCTGGAGACAGCCGTGAAGATCAGCCATACATCCCCTGACATCCCGGCTGAGGTACAGATGTCAGTCAAAGAGCATATCATGCGCCACACGCGGCTGCAGCGCCAGACCACCGAGCCTGCCTCGTCCACCAGGTGAGGGTCTCTGGCCCTGACCTCACTGCCCCTGTCAGCCATGCAGGGATGAGGTGTCAGCCTGGGCATGCTGGGGGAACAGATAACATAATTCAGGTACTTTGGGGCAGGCAGTCCTGCTCTGCTTCACCATGGGGATACATTCTGAGAAAATTATGGAGTGGTAGGGCTGGAGCAATAGCACAGTGGTAGGGCGTTTGCCTTGCAGGCAGCCAACATGGCCAACCCGAGTTCGATTCCTCCGCCCCTCTCGGAGAGCCCGGCAAGCTACTGAGAGTATCTCGCCCGCACGGCAGAGCCTGGCAAGCTACCCGTGATGTATTCGATATGCCAGACACAGTAACAACAAAGTCTCCAATGGAGACGTTACTGGGCCCGCTCGAGCAAATCGATGAATAACGGGAGGGCCGAGCAAACATCAGAGAATGTGCTTAGCTGCACCCCACCATCACCAGCAGCCATATTGTTAGGACACATGTGGCTAGATAACAGAGTGCATATGACGTGGTGGGTGAGCAAGCTGGAGATGGGCATCAGGAAAAGTGTTAGGGACTGGTCTTTGAGGTAGAGGGCTGTGCATGCTGTGAGCAGGGGAATGTGAAGTGCCGGGGGTGGGGGGCAGGATTCAATCCCTAGCATCGTGTATAGGTCCCCCCAGTTCAGCCACAAATGATCCTGAGTGCAGAGCCAGGAGTAAGCTCTGAACACTGCTGGATGTGGTTCAAAAATCAAAACAAAAGGAAGAAAAATCTTCAAGTCTGCAGTGTAGGGGAGAAATAAGGCGCTACTTGATTCCTAACATTTGGAGAATGAGAATTCCTTTATTCCCCAACACAGCTCCTCACACAGCGGGTGTGTACAAGCCTTCTTTACCAGAACAGAAAAACCTAGAAACAATCATAGGAACCAGTCACCACATAATGATGGAAAACTACTCTAAATACAGGAACACTTTGAGAGGATGGGGTGTGGGCCAGAGGGAGAGCTCAGGGAGAGGCTGAGTGCATGCTTTGCATTCAGAAGGTCCAGGAACCATCCCCAGTACCGCATGTGCCCAGAGCACTGCCAGGGGCAACCAATCCAGCACCACACTGGGAGTGGCCCCTGAGCATTGCTGGATGTGACCTCAAACCAAACCCAAACCAAACAAAAGGCAGAGGTGTATGCAGGTATGCAGCCTTATATTGATGCAAAACAGGACTCTGGAGGGTCCCTGGTTCCCTACCTTACCCTGGTATTCAAACTGTATGCCAGAAATAAAATTCTGCAGGCTCTATTTCCAAGCTTCAGGAGATGACCTTGCAGAAGTCTCTCACCTTTTTTGTGCCTCATTTTCTCCAACTGAAAAACTGGTTCAAGACTGTCATAGGGGTATTTGAAGGTGCTTGAGCAAGAATTTGGGGAGGGGATTATTTGCTGTTTGCGAGCGCTTGCAGTGCATGACTCACACCCCTGCCCCCATTCTGAGTGCCTCTTCTCTGTGAATTCCCCCTCTCTCCCACCCAGCCCCCTACCCCATAAGACTGCTTCTTCTGGTTTCCTATTTGATACCCAGAACAGTTATGAGGTCACCGTAGAAAGTGGCAGAGCCAAAATGAGTCATTAGGCTCCAAAGGCAGGTCAGAGCTGGTCCTGGGGGCTTTGTGTAGTGGGGGTGAAAGGGGCATCTGGAGGAGGGATGCACCTTCTCCTAGGAAATTTCATAGTTTAATGGGGTTCAAGGTTGGATACATTCGATAGGAAATGTAAGGAGGAGGGAACTGAGGGGCAGGGGAGTGACAATAGCAGTGCCTGCATGCATCAAGTCCCCCTCCACTCACAACATGGATTTGAGCAAATTTTTTTCTCTCTCAAGGTTTTCTCTTTATTCTCAAGTACCATAATTTCAAATAAGTCCTGGGGTGTCTGAAGCAGGGCTGCAGGAACTTGAAGACAAGAGGGCAGGCTCTACACTCTACCAGATCTGGAGTCCTGGTGGAGCTCAGGAGGTCTGAGGGATGCATTGCTGGTTCTCAGTCCTCTGGCTTGTTGGTTCAGCATCAGGGCCTGAAAATGTGGTGCAGCTGGGGCCCTGTAGTGTTGGGGATACCCAGGACACCCTCGTAGTGCTGTGGGCCTCCACAGCTGCTCTGGGGACCAGGCAGTGCTGGGAATGGAACCTAGGTTCAGCAGCGGCAGCCATGCACCCTAACTACTGTCCTGTCTCCTGGTCCTTGTGATTAACTAGGTGATTGACTGAGTGGGGGTGAGGGCACCCCTATGCCCTGCTGTTCAAGGGTCCCTGTGCTGCCATACAGTGAGGTGTGTGATACACCTGGTCACAGGAAAGGGGCTGGTGGGGGCCCCTGAGCTCTGATGCATCCCATGTCCCTCTCTGCCCCCAGGCACACTTCCTTCAAGCGCCACCTGCCCCGGCAGATGCACGTGTCCAGTGTGGACTATGGCAACGAGCTGCCGCCTGCTGCGGAGCAGCCCACCAGCATCGGCCGCATCAAGCCCGAGCTCTACAAGCAGAAATCTGTGGATGGGGATGACGCCAAGTCCGAGGCAGCGAAGAACTGTGGGAAGATCAACTTCAGCCTGCGCTACGACTATGAGAGCGAGACCCTGATCGTGCGCATCCTGAAGGCCTTCGACCTCCCCGCCAAGGACTTCTGTGGCAGCTCCGACCCTTATGTCAAGATCTACCTCCTGCCTGACCGCAAGTGTAAGCTGCAGACCCGGGTGCACCGCAAGACCCTAAATCCCACCTTCGATGAGAACTTCCACTTCCCTGTGCCCTACGAGGAGCTGGCCGACCGCAAGCTGCACCTCAGCGTCTTCGACTTTGATCGCTTCTCCCGCCATGACATGATCGGGGAAGTCATCCTGGACAACCTCTTTGAGGCCTCTGACCTGTCGCGGGAAACTTCCATCTGGAAGGACATCCAATATGCCACCAGCGTGAGTACCGTCCTGCCCCAGGCTTCCTGTCCATCCCTTCCCCTTTGTCTCTGGTCCTGGGGCCTTCAGCACGTGGAGGGAGAATCTGGAGGCTTCTACCTGGGGAGTCCTTGCCTTTTAGCCCAGGTTAGGGATGATGGTGTCTCTGAGTAGGAGAGAGGGGGGAAGATTCATGTCTGGTGCCTCTGACGGCGTGCTCCGTAGTGGGTGGCTCTCTGTAGGTGGGGCCACTGGTTTACCATAGCCAATAAAATAGGGCTGTGCTTCTCTTGGGTCATGGGTCAAGCTTGAGCAGGCTCAGAGATGGAAATGGCTGCACCTGACATGGGCTTTGATGGGTGGTAGCAACTGGAAAAGGCCGTGACAACTGTCTATATTAGCAAGGATGAACCAGGTTTAGCTGCAACAACAAACATCCCTAGGTTGGTTTGGTTTCATTGTTCAGGGCAGGGGTTTGGGCCATACCTGGATCACTCCTGTAGGGCTCAGAGGACCATATGGGATACTGTGGGACCCGGGTCAACCACATGCCCAACTGCCATATGATCCTTCTGGTCCCTTAATTGTTTAAAACAACCAAGGCTTAGTTCTCATTCATATCACATGAGCTCTGTCCCCTGGTGGGGGTTCCCCTCGATCTTATTGCCCGGGAATCCAAACTAAAAGAAGTGCCTTCTCCCCATGGGCTTTGAGTTAGCACATGTGGAGGAAGAGAGTATGGCAAATCAAGCATTTTTTTCATCCAGCTTCCAAGAAGTGTCATTTCTGCTCATAATTTTTATGAGCCAAAGCAAGACCCTCAGCAACTCCTGGCACAAAGAGGGCAGGCATGTGCTCAGAACTGGGAGCACTTCCTGAGAGACAGTGACGGCTACCACACAGGGGAGGGCCTCTCTTCGGATGGTCTGGGGAATGGGGGAGGAGTGAAGGAGATGTGGCAAAATCGTACCTGGAAGCTATACACTGACTACTGGAATTGGCCAGGGAAGGTTCAACTGATGAGGCTCAGGCTGGCTTTTAAGAGGAGGAAGGGAAGGTCTGACGCAGAGTTGGACAGGCCCATCCAGGTCCTAGCGTCCAGTGTACGTGCCCTGCTACATCTGCCAGGAAGTTGTGCAAGAAACTGGGGTCCCAACTCCTATGGGTGCAGGTGGTGTGAGTCACCTAAGTCCCCTCCAGGCAGCAGAGAGACCCCTCCAAGGATTTCCTACCAAGCTCCAGTGGTCTGGCCAATCTCCAGCATCTTGAGTTGGGTGAGTGTCACTCTGAAAATTGTTGGTGCCATTTCTCTGGAGTAGGGGGCAGCCCTACTCTTTAACTGCAGTTTTATCTGCAGTCACACCTCAATATCTGTGCTGAGTGTGTGAGAGAGCGATTGCGAAAATCAGTCCCTCTCAGGTAAGCATCTTGATCTATTCAAGATCCAGCTTGAGGGAGCTCTGGGAAACCCTCTCGTGTATGAGCAGATTTTGATCCTCCCTCACTTTCCTCTGCAAGAGCAGCACAAGCAACAGGCCAGCAGCTGAGGCAGCGGGAGCAGCATTTGTGTGGCAGCCCCAGCCCAGGAGCTCGGCCAGCAGCTGAGGCAGCGGGAGCAGCATTTGTGTGGCAGCCCCAGCCCAGGAGCTCGGCTCCATAAATCACTTGGAAGTTTTCATCTGCTCCGCTCTTCCTGGGGGCCTCAGAAGGCGATGCTCCAATGCAGTAGTCACGCAGGTGAAAACTACAGCTCAGCTCCCTGTCCGCTGGGGCCAAGTCCTGGGGTCTAAGGTTGAGAGTAGGAGCAGGGCTATGGGGAGGTGGGGGCCTCTCCTCCCCTTACCGTGCTCCCCTCTGTGATGTCGCTCAGAGCATGAGTGGAAGCTGGCCCCAGAGTAGAAGCGCGCCAGCAGAAGACCTTAGCCTCTACACCTAGAGCTGAGAGATAACGAGGAATCAAGGCGCTTGCCTTGCATGCAGCTGCCCCAGGTTCAGTTCCTGGCATCACATACGGGCCTCTGAGCACTGGCAGGTGTTATCACTGAGTAGAGCTCCGAATAAGCCATGAGCATAGCTAGCTGTGGCCCAAACCACTGCCCTCCTACAAACACGTCCCCCACACACAAACCCTCCCCCAACTCTGCACCTGTTCCTGCCTGCTCTATTCCTTCCCTCCCCACTAATAGGTCACAGGACTGGAGTGCAGGAGCTCTGGGGTCAGCCCCAGCCACCACATATTCTCTGAGCACCACACCAGGAGCAGCCCCCAGACACTGCCAGGTGTGCCCCCCAAAGCCCATCCTCCAGCTTAATTTTAGGGAAAAAAGCAGATTGTCCCCCAAACAATAGACAAGTCATGGCAATCTTCTTTATCCCTGGTTGGTGCCATTCTAGTCCTCTTGTAGCTCATCCTGTCAGAGCACGACACTTGTGGGGAAAGAAGGGGATGTTGACAAATGACAACACCCTTGGACCTCAGAAATTTAGAATCGAATCTCACAACAAAAGGAAATGCCCATGCAGTGTCTAGAGATGCTCTAACTAGCCAGTTCACAGTTCCTTATGCCCTCAAAAACATATGGTATGAGGTTGCAGGCCCAGGGCCAGGTCAGCAAGTGCAGAGTTAGTGGGTGAGGGGGAGAAAGGGCAGCACCTAAGCCGGAGCAGAGCATCCAGCCCAGCAGCTCCCGAGGCTGGAGAGTGGCCACTGCATTCCCATCCCGCTGGCCTGAGACTGTCTCCAAGCAGGGTGTGGGGGGCATCCTGGACTCTCCCATCACTACCTCTAGAGCAGCCCTGCTCCCAGGGGCAGCCAAAGGTGATGCAGACATGGGCGCAAATGGCTCATGCTCCCACTATTCTTCAATACAGCCTGTAAAATGCATTTCCTGGAGGGCAGGGGCGATAGGACAGTAATCAGGACTTAGCATTGCACATGGCTAACCCAGGTTCCATCCCTGGTACCCCATATAGTCCCTTGAGCCTGTGAGGAGTGATTCCTGAGTGCTGAGCCAGGAGGAACCTAAGCACCACCGGGTGTGGGCCAAAAATCTAAAAATAAAATAAAATACATTTGTTTGGGGGCAGAGAGGCCTAAGCCACAGTCACCAGAGACGACTGTGCCATCATGTGAATAAGATCCTGCAGTGGGTGAGGGCCGGGTGCTGTCACCTCCCTCCAGAACCTGTCCCTGCATGTTAGTCCCTGAGCTTGGAACTCTAAACTGCCGCTGGCCTGGTCCTCAGTCCGTCATCCTGCCTCTTACCTCACTCTCAAGCTTCTCTAACAGCAGATGAGGCATTTCCTCCTCTCCTTCATCTCCCCAGCCTAGCACAGATGAGTCCTTTTCCGAGCTCTGATGTCCTGCTTCATGGCTGCTGTTCGTCCAGATTTATTCTCTGAATCCACTGCCCACCCTGCCAATATGCCCCAAATCACATTCTGCTTCATAAAGTTCTCCCAGTGGTTCTGAAACAGCCTGTTTTCTGCATTTGACTTTCTCTTGTATGTTCCCTCCCGACTGAGTATGTCATTTTATGCAAATGTCAGGACTCAGCACATTCTTATTGAGTGGCCAATGGCTTAGTGAATTCTGTTGAAATATGTTCTGGTGCACAGGGAAAGGACTATAAAAGTGATGTAATCTGGGTCAACAGGAACCCAGGAAGGCTTCCTAGAGGAAGAAGACCAACCATCCTTCTTCCTAGAGGAAGAAGACCAAATAGGCAGATCCAGGCTGGGTCGGGAGAGAGCTAGTCTACACATAGCCTTAGAGAAACGGTTCCCAGAGGTGACTGATGTCTGGAATCCAACAGACAAAAAGAGGAAGGAGGTGGGTGGGGGCAGTTTGGAGTGTAACAGAGCACAGAGGTTCAGGGAGCTCTCCTGGAGATTGCAAGCCCAAACGCTGTCCTCTTGTTGTTCTGCCCATTGGTGGAAGAATCAACTCGGCCCTGGCCCATGGGACCAGACAGCCTCCAGGTCTGGACCTACCACCAGTCTCATCTGGTTTGAAGTGGCAGATTTGAACCCATTTTATTCTTCTCTTCAACCCCAGAACTTAAAGATCCAAGGCCCCTGGATGGGGAGTGGCCCTTCCAGTCCAACGTCTAACTCTGCTCCTCACCACATGCACAGCCCCCCACCACAACCCCCTCCTCACTCAGTGCTCCGGGTGGGGAAGCAAAGGCACAGGGACAGACACAGTGCACATCCGGCTAGAGGTGGGAGGAGCAGGCAGGCCGGAACAATGAGAGCACTTGGAGACCTTATGTATTCCACAAGGAAATCAGGATTCACCAAATCCACACCAGCCGAGGGCAAGGCCCCCTCATGCTTCTGTGGCTCCTGCACCTGCATGATGTCCTCTGCTGATCTGGGCATCCTGAAGTGCTTCTCATTTTCCCTCCACCCAGAACGTCACTGGGTTTAAATCATCCTTCTCTTCCCTTCCTCTGTCTCTGCCCCCAGACTCATTATTTCTATATTAAGCCATAGATATATCATTATAATAGAGCTGCCATCACTGGGGTTTGCTAGCTGAGGCCTCAGACCCCAGTGCACACTATTCTCGTTGCTATCCCCACTCGGTGATGTGGTAGGAGGTGAAGGCTGTAACTTCGCCCCTGAATACCAGTTGTGTTTTGTGGTTGTAATGGACTCACCCTCCTTCCTGTCTGACCAGGCCAAGGTCAGGTCTGAGTGAGTGCGAGCATGTGTGTGCATGTGAGTGTGTGTGAGTAAGCATGGTGCATGTGCGTGTATGTGTGCTGTTTGGAGGGTTATGCAGTGCTCTGGATGTTTCCTGGGTGCTGGCACTCAGAGTCTGCAGGGAGGCAGGAGGCTGGAAGTCATAGAGTTGTCTCTAGGCCAGGAATGAGCCCAGCAGGTCACTAAGGGCCCAGGCTTTGGTGCCATGCCAGCCTGCACTGTGCTCAGCCTTTGCACTTTCTAGCTCTGACTTTGGTTGCATTCTCTGAACTGAGTCTCTGTTTCCCCAGTCAACGAAATGAGAGTAGTGG